TTTTTCCAACGATAAATTACTGACATCAAAATCAATACGATCATGTGTGAGTGCGATATGCGGTTCGATCAGATCCATAGTAAATGGTCCCGTTTCGTAGTCTTCATCGAACAATACGACATATCGCTTGAGAGCAGTGAAAACTGAGTGAGCATATAGAATCTCTAAAAAAATGTCAGACCACCAGACCTCGAAGAAGAACTTCAAAAATTGTTCTTGTGTGAACCATTTGTCGATCTTTTATTGTCGCCGGATCTTTATACTCAAATTATTATCCGTTTCAAAATTGTTAAAACACCTAAAATACATTATTTATTTCAGAATGTTAAAACACCTTTATTGTAATGGTTATGGCGGTTCTGTTCGAACAACAAATGAGATTCTTTTGGAGAATGACACATTTATTCTGTATGATTTTCCATACTATCCCCAAACAATCGTTTTAGACGTAAATGTTTTAAAATTTCACTTTTATTCAGAACGTGCTTCTGATAATTTAACGTTGAATGGTAAAATTGATCAAGTACTAGATATAACATTTGGTGGAGAAAGTTCCATAACAAAAACAGGTTATTTAGACCTAACAAATCTTATTGTAGTGGAAAATGTTAGTTTATGCTTTAGAAGTTACATTAGGGGCGTTATTACAGGCAAAAATGTTAATCTGACGAGGCTATACAGTTTCAACCCATTTGAGCAAACTGCTTACGTTAAAGCTGTTAATTATGCAAATATTGTAGCACAATCTTATTTACTCACATTAGGCAAAATATATGTTGATGCTAAATATTTGATTGATATTACTATGGGAGTTTTTGATGACTCAGTTATCTACGCAAATAATTCGTTGACCAATAATTGTAATATCTTGACGGATGGCTCTTCAACGATTTACGTGACTGTTCGTGATATGCTCAATATAAACTCAAATGGTGAGAGTATTGTTAATGGAACAACATCTCCCTGTGCAAATATCGTTAATATTAACAGTGGTGAGAATTCAGCTGTTTATGTTTGTGCAACAAGCGAAATCAATGTTAATGTCACTGGGGCGGCTAAAGTCTTCTATAGTGGTTTATTAAATCAAACAAGCCAAAGCGAAGAGGGACAAATAATTCCACTATAGATACTACTTTGAATAGCTTTCATGTATAGCAGAGACGTTGCCTTTTCTACATGACTGTACTACTTACTTCGAATTTATTAATTTGACGATGATTTAATGCTTCCCCCAGAAAACTCATATCTCGATGAGGAAGCATTTTCAAGATTTAACAGCTTAGATAACTATGCAATGTTGCGTGAAGAATCGAATGAGCACGGTTAGACAAATAAAAAATTATTTTTTCATCAAATTATAAATTTATTAGGCGAAGCATATCAAAGAATTTCGAAAGATATTAGAAATAATTAACTGGTTTGTATATGCTTTCCTTTTTTCCACTCTTTGAGTTAAAATTGGTATATATATATATACGCTTGTTTTGTATTCAGTGTTAGCACTTCACCAATAACGTTGATGTGCTGATTGACGGATGGTGGATAGACAATTATATCATCTAAATACACTTTGTAGAAATCGAGGATAAGGAGATTCCAGGACAGCAAGATTGCAGACGATTTCCAAAAGATGATTTTCATGTTCCTTCAAACGACATTGTTATTATTATTTAAAATCATCTTGTTTTAATAACCTCACCTCACCGACCACTACAAACACGTACATTTTTTAAAGTTAAAATTGTGAAGCATATATATGATTGTTTTGTCAACTATGCAAACAAGCCAACGCTGTATGATCAATAGAGAAAAACAAAATAGACGTGCTGAAAGGAGAACAGATAAATACAAAGTATGAATGATAGTAGAAATAATATTTGACAGCCTGAAAAACGTTCCTTATCAAAACTACAAAAAAGAATATTTGTTACTCTACAATAGCGTATCCATCGTTGAAACGTTTACTCTTATTGGTACCAAATATAAAAGAATTATACATATGTCACAAGGAACTTCTGGATGATCAGGAAGTGGCATTGATATGAAAACAGTTATCTAGTGTCACTGCAGTTTTTGCGCGTAGTAGAAATAATGCTGATGACGCCGAAGAGGTAGCGAAAATAATCGAAGAACTGAACGAACAATTGAAAAAAGTGGCATATCTGAATGTACAATGTACTACGAACTTTGATAGTGGCTTTGAAGAAGTGCATGAAGAAGATTACCATAGTGATGAAGAAGTGTGAATGGCGACAACAACAGAAACTAGACTTTAGCTATACTAATCAATTGACGACCAGTCTGATCATTGTGCCTCTATTTCGGCTTTTCTGAATGCTTCAGACCAAATTTGTCAAATATATAGGAACTGTTCTTCTTCCTCATCAGTCTTGTTAGTAACTGAATCGTACACTTTGTCGATTTTTAATTACGCTTCTTTTTATTATTTTATTATTTTTTTTTTCGTTTACTGATTTTTAATTACTTTAGTATTTCTTGTTGCAAGTTTTTGCTGATTTCTCATCATATTCGAAGTCTAATTAGGAATTTTGACTCACTTGAACGGTTTACAATTCATCATAGGCCGATTATTGTTTGCTTACAGGAATCGTTTTTAGCGACATTTATTTCTGATAGCGAAATTTCCAATCCAAAATTTTCTCTCTATCATTATGATAATCGTTGCACGCGTGATGGTGTTTGCATATATTTGAAAACAACTATTCCCCACGAATCCAGTTTTTACTTAAAGGGGTCCGCAGAAAATCTTTTTGATGAAACGTTTCACAAATATTGACCACGAAAAAGTGTACTGACAAAATACTTTTATCTCTTACCATTCAGAAGTTTTTTCAGTTCAAGATCAAACCCTTCTGTACGGCACCTTTTCTTTATATGTATGGCTTTCGGCCTAATTGAAAAATGATTCACCTTTACGGCCACCTTTATTGAAAGTGCAAAATCTATTTTTGTGTGTACCTCTCGAATTTGCGGCACCTAATCGCTAATACAAATCACACTGTATAATTGTGTACTAAATCTTATTGGGACAGAAGTCTGTACAAAGTTTGTAAAAGCACAATTTGGAAAAAAGGTAGATATCATTTTAAAAAAGTTGGTTTATATTACTGAAAACGCCAATAGACCTCTTCTCTCATGGCTAAGAACCATGCTGTATTTTTGCGAGGTCGCACAAACAGAAATATCAGTACAGGCGTAAGGAGATCCAAGCTGATACGTTTGTCTGTTTTATTTATTTATTTTGTAGCCTCAACAACAATTTCACCTTTTTCACCGAAACTGTGTCCTTCAACCAAATGGAATCAAATTGGAATTACAGTAGCCGGCGAAATGAGCGAATTAAATTATCCACGAGACGTAGTTTTAGATAGTCAACAAAATTTATATGTAGCTGATTATAGTCGTCCACAAAAGTATTTTTCGAATAATGGAATAAGTGTTACAGTGGTATCAGGTGGGTAAATAACAAATGTATTCATTGACAAGTTCGATAATATTTATATTCTAACTGGAAATGTTGTTCAAAAATTGAACAGTACGAATGGTTTATTAACAACAGTGGCTGGTAATGGTACATATTGGTTCTGCAATGAATGAGTTCAGTCTTTCATCGCGTCTTTATGTTCATACGAATAACACTATATATGTATCCGATACTGGTAATGATCGAGTAATGAAATAGTCAGTAAATTCGACACAAGGCATTGTCATTGCAGGTGACAACGGCCTTGGTAATGCATCAAATCAACTTTATTACCCTCAAGGTATTTTTATTGATGAAATCAATGAAATTGGCGCAATTTATGTTGTTGATCCATATAATCATATAGCTCAAAAATGGTTACCAGGTGGAGATCTTTGGGGTAATTATGTATTGCAGCGGCATGTTTCACAGTCAATCATTGTGGATACAATCAATAACATTATTTATGTATCAGATAGTGTTTACTGTGGAATATTACAATAGTGGGCAAATATACAAGAAGGATCAATTCTTCCATTTTGATTACTGGTGAAAATGGCTCTTATGAAAATGGGCCAACTGATCTAAATAGGGTGTGGGGATTTCGATTTGGTTCTAGTTTGAATTTATATGTGGCAGATGTAGGCAATAAAAGAGTACAAAAGTTTACTTTCGATTCATCATCGCGTACAAATTAACAACAGTGGTTACGTTAAACTCTGATAAACTTTCACAAATACAAAAATTCATTTGCCTTTTTTATTTGTGCTTCGCACTTTCTTCCTTTTGCTCCTCTTACTGTAAGTAAGGCTCTTAAAATTCAAAAAATGATTTTGCGAATTGAGCTCTCATTGTCTCTTTGTCTTCCAGACTCGACTTAAGTGGTGACTCAATGGCACGCGTACAGCGGCTAGTTTGAGCTTTACATTTTAGACTTTAGGATTCTATCGTTCGAGAGTTTAATCTCGCATTAAAAACCTATGGACTGACGATTCCGTTTTTTACGATCTTTCGAACATATTGTCTCATAAATCAATAAAAAGATGAATAACCGAGTAGAAGGCATGTAACACTTAAAAACTTAGAAAAATAGCACATTAAAATGTTTCCCAGCTGTGCTAAAACGGCCACTGCTAAAGACAAAAGTTTCATATTAATATTCAGCAAGATAATTAAAAAACACAGTATCACAGTATGACTTTCATAGGTGCATAGTTTCACAGTATCATAGTATGACTTTCATACTGTCATAGCTCTACAGTATCGCGGTACGACTTTCATAGTAGCATAGTATCTATACCGTTGCAGCTACAAAAAATACATCTATACGATTATTAATTAACGAGTTATTAACCAGGTAAAAATCCTGTATGAGTTTTACCAATTTACTCGGTGAAACAGCTGCAAAAGAACACATGGATGAGATTGATAACAATAAATGGCAAAGCGGCCAGGTTAGTGATATTAGTACAAACAATGACTTAGATGAGAGGAGCAGTGCCGGTGCACAAAACGAAGGGGATGAATGATTGATTATACTTCATACTAATGCCGGCATACCAGTCGCCGTATGCCGGTCGCCGTTATAATTCAGTCGCCGGTGTACCGATCGGCCTTATAATTCATACCGGTACCGGTACCGGTTGCACCTCTGAGAAGAACTAATATTTTCATTTCTTGAAACCCTAAAAACACTGACACCGAAAAAACTGCCCCTCTCTACACTCAAAAGATATAACAATTGAACAGAAAGAGATTGTACTAGAGGTCGCTCATAGTCATTTTCTGATTCCCCATAGTCGATTACTTCTGCTGTGAAAGTTTTATGACTGTATGTCTCTTCGTAGATAAGAAAATGAGGTTTTCTCTCTCTTGCGGACAGACAGACAGACATTTTCAGATTTATACCCTTTGCTTTCAGCCAAGCGAATAAGAAGAGATTGTACAAATAATTACACAGACAGACGATTTTAGTCGTATTAACCGTGCTATCAGTCAAAGGCATAAAATGTCTATGCTCAGCTTTACCTCGTTACTGTGGATCGCAGTTTGAATCTACGTCAATGGTTATATTAATTATTTCTAAGGGGAAAGACTAAAATTATTGACCAATTTGCACTCTGGAACTAGCGACTATGATCGACTAGATTGTAGAAACTCTGTATTGAAATCAGATGCATGTTACAACTACAGCGCTGTGAACGAATTTAACGTGGAGAAGAGAAGACCTCTCTTCGGTCGGCGTTCGCGAACGGATGCCGATTGAGATGCTTCAGACATCATTTATTTGAAGGAAAATATGGCTTCCGAGGTCGCTCATAGTCATTTTCTGATTCTCCATAGTCGATTACCTTACTTTGAAAGTTTCAGGACTGTATGTCTCTCCGTGGATAAGAAAATAAGGTTTTCTCTCTCTCTCTCTCTTGCGAACAGACAGACATTTTCTGATTTATAACCCTTGCTTTCATTTAAGAAATAAAAATATAAAATTTGCATATGAACAACAATATTACACTTCTTGTTGATTCTCCTTAGGTGATTGCGTTACCACTTTTTAAAACAAAAAAGCTGAATGAAAAAACCAAAAGCGTAAGTCAGATAGCCCATCGAAAGGTAGCGATAACAGATTGCTTAACTTTTTATTAACTTATTATTTTCGCAAAATAAACTAAAAATGCTTTTTGGTAACGCAATCAAATCACGTCACATTCGAGGAGATTTCGATAAAACTGTTGTAAATAAAACAATGAGACCTGAGAGGTAGGCAAGTTGGGCAAAATAAAGCCTAACTTTTGTGGATTTGTTTCATATCGAATACCTGTAAAGATAAAAATGCAAGTCACAAATCAAGTCAGGCTCTTTCAGAAAGTTTTTAAGTGAAGTCATTCGACACGTAAAAGAATTCAAATCAGGCCACTTCCAAGTTAACTTGTCCATCTTTGCAGAAGTAGACGAATGTAATGAAGAGTAAATATTGTATCGTCTATACAAACAAACAGAAGTGTCAAATACGGATTGGCGAATACGATTGGTTGTCTAACCGACCTAGAGAAATAAAATGAATATTAAAAGTTTCATATTAATATTCAGCAAGATAATCAAAAATCACAGTATCACAGTATGACTTTGATAGTTGCATAGTATCATAGTATGATTTACATCAGGGTCTTCTCTATATTTCCACCGGTATACGCTATACCGATGGAACAATATGAGCGGGTACAGGAACCGGCAAGACAATAAGGGCAGCCAAGACAGGTTGCACCTTGGAATCGTGAATATTAACAACTGACTCCGTGACCGGAATACAAGGACATTTTTTAAGTAATTACTAGGTATGTAAAAAACCAAGTAGCAGATGAGTGCACATTCCAGTCGATCTACAGAACGAAATCACGTTCCATCATGCACAGAACGATCAATCATTAGAACGTCGAAAGACATTCCATCCATTTTATTTTTTTTATGTATTTTTTTATATATGAGAGAAGAGACCTTCTTATTCATTTTATACAGTTTTTTGTTAATCTCCGAAGAAGAATTTAAAATCGGGCAGGTTAATAAAATGTAAAGAAAACGAATCACTTATTGTTATTGTCTCACAACTGTTCAACCGTTGCAGCTACAAAAAATACATCTATACGATTATTAATTAACGAGTTATTAACCAGGTAAAAATCCTGTATGAGTTTTACCAATTTACTCGGTGAAACAGCTGCAAAAGAACACATGGATAAGATTGATAACAATAAATAGCAAAGCGGCCAGGTTAGTGATATTAGTAAAAACAATGACTTAGATGAGAGGAGCAGTGCCGGTGCACAAGACGAAGAGGATGAAAATAGATTTGTTCCATTTACGCAATGCTTTATAAGAGATAACGCAGTTGAAGGCGAATTGGCATCTTCATAAGGGGGAGATGAAAATAAAGATCAAGATGAGATGATCGAGAGAGAAGACGATGACGTCCATTCAGGTGATCTACACTTGCTAATATCACCACCCCTCACGAATATGTCAATAATAACTATTGACATTGAATCTCTGGATACAGTAGCACTAGTATCCAAAAGAAAGAAGGTAGATAACGTACTCCATGCGGGAGAAACATTATCGAGGAATGCTATGAAGAACTCTGGAATCCGAGAGACCGAACTTCCACCATGACACCGACGCCATCGGAGATAGATGCTTTATTGGGACAGTCGTCCCTGAGATCACCTCCAGCATCCAACGAGATGGGTTTAACACCTAGACGGATTAAACTAGAGCAAAAAAATGTGGCTAATTGTTCTTGACAGTAGATAACTCCCAAATTGGATGGTTAAAAACAAGAACGTTCCGGCAAGAGTTGAAGACTTGGCTAATAAATTATCTATTTTACAGAATGTGTATTGTCAAAAATTAATAATACAATTCAGAGACGTGACTGACAGCTCAACAATATTAGCGAGTGTTGTACGTATGTCCACGCGAAAACCTCAGGTGCCTTCCAGTCACAATAATGCAAACGATGGCAAACGCCATGAAGAATTTGTTCTACAACTGAAAAAAGACGCATACAAGGCAAATAAAAGATATCAGGCATACACGTCTAGTACAATCAGTACATCTAGCCAAGGTTTCCAAACAAGCGCAGAAGTTGTAGGAAACCCAAGTCCTGATGTCAATCAACCGGATGGTCAAACAAAACGTACAACCGCTGACGTTCATTATCAGTGCGAAGACGTACGATTAAAAGAGAATTGAGCTCCACAACGAGCGCAATTCGAAAATCGATTAGTCCATATATATTCTGCCAAATATACAAATTTGAATCGAGCACCACGAATGAGAAGAGAAATACATGGCGAAATGCTACGCTATGAACATTGTTTCACTCATGCAAAAAGCGACCAAATTTTTTGGGTAATTTATCTAGATTCAGCTCCACGCACATCTAGATGCACCTGAATCTAGATAAATGACCCAGACCATTGGGTATGAGGTATAAAAATAAAAAGTTGTTGCGGCGCCACATTTGAAAATCGTGATGTAACTTTATCAGTGACTCAACGGTTAGAATCTAACGATTCTAGGCATGCCTGTCGACAATGTGAATTATGTCTGATTATTATTGATACCAATGATATATGTAGAAAATCAATTGATCAAATCATGGCTGATTTGAATATATTGATTGGAACATCAAAATATAAATATCGATCAATTCAATAGGTGTACGTACACGAAATCATTAATCGAGTCATACCATGTTGGCAAAGGCAGCCACGAGGAGAAATGATGGATGGAATTCGCAAATATAACGAAAGACTACACGCCAACGCACCTGCCTATGGCTATACAGTGGTCGAAACAAACATAAAAGACGAAAACTTTAAAATGACGATGTACAATTAAGAGACACTGGTATACTAAAAGTAGTTCAAACAATAAAAGAAACATTCTCTCGTTATCCAAGGGTTGACGCCACATATAAGGCTCCTTCGAAGGAATATGAAGGAAGATTTTTTCTTCAAATAATGAGATACGGCTCATAGCGTTACATAAAGAGAAGAAGCAAGAGATAATAAGTGTTTTGCCAGACGGTATTAAGCAGATGATAGAAAATGAATTCGAGGAAGGAACCTCTAGAGAGAAGTTACCCTGGAGTGATAGGGAAATATCTCTGTGCATGATTTTTACGAGATACTACAAAGTAATATTGGAACACTTCGAAACATATATTGACGATAGGACCGACGCTAAGCGACTTCCATCGAGTGTAGACAAACATGTGGCACTACTATATAGTATGACTAACCTCAAGGCTGGGAAGGCAAAATACGAGAGGGCTGTACAAGTTTATTTATGTGAAGAAGAATATTTCAGGTGAATTTTGATAGAAATATGAGCACTCTTAAAAGCCATTACTGTACAGAATAATTGATCACCAGTTCTAGAATTGTTTGTGTCATTTCAGTAATCCGTTGAGAAAATTTCTATCAGAGATGTCAGAATATCAATACGCAGGATATTCTCAAAAAACGACTTTTCCCTCAGCATGTGAGTGAGCCACAAGAATGCATTTCACTGCTGCTAGTTCAGAACACCGGAAACCCAGCATGTTTTACAGATATCTGTCGGCATAACAGTGTATTCTCGACGAGAATATGCAAACCCAGCATGTTCTGAGGAAAAAGGCGTTTTCTGAGAATACACTGCGTATTGATATTCTGACACTCTTCGTTTCTATCTCTTAATCTTCAATTTGTTTTGTTTCGTACTTAGAGCAAGCTTTTCTCTAAAGATGCTCCAAGATGGAGGCATACTGATCAACGAGCACGAGCAACTGAAGAGAACCTGATATGTAAAACAGGAAATATTTGGATTAGCAACTGTGAAATTTTGAATATTGAATACTGTTAGTTTTTCATTTATGCTTTAAAAATTCTCTCTTATAAACTATGTAATGATTAAAAATAATATCTATTTTATTATATTTCAATTTCTTCCAAAAGCTTTCTAACCACTCCCACAGCTGATAGTCTAATTTCAAGCACTTGATGTTCCATTTGATTCAATTTTGCTGTATATTGTCCGATTTGTCCTTTATTGACTTCTTGTTCTCGATGTAAGGATGCCATTATTTCGATACCTATATTACCTACTTTAGATAGATTTTCGGAAAGTGTACTAAGAGCGTCAGATAATGAACGATTGTAGAACAATGTCATTTGCAGTTTGGCATGATTATTAGTCCACTTCGTAAAGGTCTCTGTTAGTATATGCTTTACAGTGTTATTGAATGGTACATAAACAATCAAACTTTGTAAGTAGACGGCCGTTTCACTCTCCGGTTGGATAATATCAGTAAAAGATGTCAACGGTACTTGACTATTATATTTTTTCTCGCGATTTCGAGATCCCATACCGCGACCTTCGCATACGTCGACGAGTGTCTTTAGTGGATCGCTAATCCAATGTTCACCGGTGAACGTTTTTAGTTTTGAAATGTAGCCAGTGAGATGCTCAACACCGGTGTGGGTTAATTTTTGATTCAATTCTCTCAATCGTTCATACATACAATTAACGTCAGTGATATATTC